AGCTACAACCACACAGCTCCCATTTAAAATACATTGCAACAGATCCACCATAACCCCACTACTTACCTCATCTATGATTTATTCTGTGTATAGTCTATTCACTTAATGCTCGCGCTTTTTGAATAAAACTTCTGAAAATTTACTCTATGTGTGACGTGTTTATTTCCTAAATATATTATGTATAACAAGCTACTTATAATTTTTTTTAAAGTAAACGTATCTTATTCTTGGTTGGATTGAAATTTTACTGGTGTTTTATCTTATCGATATCAATAATATCAGTGAGAATATAGGAGAGATGGTAATGCCTAGTATGATATAGTTCACATGCAATATGTTATTAAATTGAGTGCGCACGAATGCGGTGCGTTGTCCCTTTGGTGTAATTATTTAGTCTTGGTTATAGCTTTGTTTGCATGAGGCGGAGGATTACCCTGAAAGTAGAACTTTAGCAGGGCTTTAGAAAAGTTGGAAGTAACTATGAATGGTGATGGGTTAAGATAATGTAAGTTCGGTTTATAATCCATGTCAAACTGTCTAATTTTCTTTTTCAAATATGTTTGACGATTAAATTTTTCCTTGCAACAAATTTTACCAAGTAATCTTGAATGTGTTTGAAAATGTGTCACAATTATCTTTTTTTTTTTATTTATGTACTTCTGTTGTGTTTTCATGCAGTCCATTACAGTAAATATATGTAACGAAATATTTTTACTTCTTTACTAAATTAAAATGGTATTTATCAGAGATGTTTCCTGCAAACAATGTAATTTAATGCCTTTGAGTTCTTAACATTTCCTGCAATATTCACTTGAAACAGCATTCATGCTCAGACAGTTCCCACATAAAATAATTATCTTTATAAGCTTATGACGTTCCCAGCAAGTGTTCGTTGTTTTAAAGTTTCGTGACGTCCAATTAAGAATCGGTCCAATATTCAAATGCTTTATGTCACCGGAAGGCTTCCAAATCTTTTAGACAAATACGGTGGTGTGTATGACTTTCCGGTGACGTCTCAACTGTACAACTATATTTGACCAAACTTGTTGGAAGCAGTTTGAGGGAAAAATGTTACAGTGTGACAGGAGCTTAACCCTTTAGCATATTATCTCAGCTATACCCGTTTACGTGTAGCATGTTGCAGAATTGATAAAGTCGTGGTCGTTGTTCTGTAAGACCAGATGCTTGCACCAAAACAGACAGCCTTTTCCTGGGCAATGTCGTTGGTTGCTGCTGACACGTCAATTACGTTATAATTGGTTGTTTGTCGATCCACGGATCTACTGAAAACATTCCCTTAGGTTCCAGAGGGCCAGTTGTTATAAGAAATTTGCAAGTATATTTCACACCATAAATATCCTCTTTCGCAACACCTGAAATGAGAAATTAATGTGTACGTTAAGGGGATATGCTGGAATCAAATAACCCCGACAAGCACGCACGACAGCTCCAACACGACGCTTAAAACTAAACAGCCAGTGAAATACAAGATACATCTGTGGTAATACCGACAATTCTGTCGTCCGACCAGAAATTTTGGATTAGAAATTATTTATATTTTCGTAGTGTCGTATGGCACGACGCACAGAGTGTACAACCATGCAAAATGAAATTGTAGGGCAAGCTTTTCCTACTTTGACAAATACGCAGCTTAAAAGAAAACGATTTGGAAAATTACTGTATTTAACTCTAAAGAATAATAATTTTACCTTTGTATTCATTAGCTTTGTCACCATCATGTATTCCAAATATCCCGTCTGCCCACCGCCTTTGAAACTAGCGTAGTTAATCAGCGCCTTCTAAATGGTTCCGAAAAATTCTGCTCTTCGTGTCGCGACAATAAACTATCGGGCTGTAAGTTCAAGCAGTCACGTTGAGAATATAAATGTTATGTCGTGGTTACGGTTTTTGTCGTGTCGAGTTGTGTTTGTCGGGACTATATGATTCTCGCATCAAGGGAAGCGAGACTGCAGTGCAATGATCCCCGTTGGGGCCACGTGTTTCAGGCGACATGAAGAATTGCCGCCATGGGCGCACACGGCACGCGTGACAGCCATACCGCGCGTGCAGTCAGAGCGCACTGCACCTGCGTGATATCACTCACGCACGCCGTGTATCAATTTATGTCTACCAGCAGCCCGTTCGCTGCCAGTCGTGCATATTGATGGCTCACGGAAGGGAGCCCATGCCCCATGCAGCCTAGTGCCTCTATCTTCTTCCTCGGGATTTACTTATTTCACTCACACGACACCCATATAAAAAAAAACTAATAAAAATAGACCATGCCAAAAAATCCTTTATTACTTTTGAAATGGTCTTAATTTGATTGTTCATACTATTAATAGTAAATTACTCAGGAGAAAGAAATTTATCATTGGCTAAGAATCAGCTAACAGAGTTATAATAAAATTTTTGCTGTATAGTGTGTCACTGATTAATTTAGCGATAAAATAATTTTGCATTTAGAATAATGTACGTACAATAAGAAATAAAATGAAAATCTAGCATTCGAATCACCTGCGACTAGCCTTCAAATTCTTACTAGTCTAACTTCGAAGTTAAAATAAAGTGAGTGAAAAAAGTGAGAAGAGATTTGGGCGTCTGTTAACATCGAGGTCTTGAGAGCCGATGAGATGCGTGTGGAGCAGCACCGGAATGGGAGATCCCCGAGAAAACCCACCGGCCACAGCGGCAAGGCCCGGCGCGATTTCCACTGCGAAAATCCCGAGTGAAATGACCGGGAATTGAACCCGGTTCGCCTTGATGGGAGGCGAGCAGTCCGATCGCTGAGCACTTTGGCCCTATTTACATGTTTTACTCACGCAACATCCAGGAAGATTAAAAAAAGGAAATATAGACAATATCACAACCAAAAATAATTTAAAACTGTTCAAAGATACCTGATATTTTACATATTTTTCAATATTCCGAATTTAGATGTTTATAACAATAACAGTAAGCAGTCAAGGGCCTTGCCTACCGGCTGCCAGCTGCGAATTTAAAATAGGAAATTTTACCTCAAAGCGTTAATTTTAAAGATAGGCGTTTGAAACCAAATTTCTTTTTTACGGTTTTTTTTTTTTAGCAGAATTTCCCTATAGCAGAGATGTTTCCATTACACGTATACCCTGTTTGCATAAAATATTTTAAATGTATGTTTTACAAAAAATCACATACTTCCAATGGATATTGAAAATATACGCCCGTAGGGACCTTCTCCTAAACAACTCACGAAGAATACATTTTGTTTTGAAACGCCTATCTTTAAAATTAACCTACTGAGGCGAAATTTCTTTAACATGGGATTTCCTATTAAAATATTACAGCTGTCCGCAGGTATAGGCAGAGACCTGAGAAATTCGCGGATTCAATTACCTGTAGGCTAGACGCTATAGTCGTATGTAAAAATACGCCGATATCAACCTGCGCATTGGTTATCTGCTGTCACAGTGGAAGGCGACGATTGGGCTAGCGATCTCCATGAGGTGTCAAACACCGTGTTATCCAATTGCTAAAGTTAAATAAATACACGTGTTTTGCATTCTAGTTTTCCCAAAATGAATCCGCAAATTCTTCGGTTCTCTAGGTATAGGCTATTCACAGTAAAGTGAGCACTTTTGAAAGTCCTCTCATTTGGAACAATAGTCAATAAATACATTTTATTTTAGCCTTAGACATTAACTTCCCAGTGCGGTGGAATATACACACTGTGTTTATTACTTACATGGCAGTATTATTTTTAAAATATGGTTCAAGTTTAAGAAATGGCTAAAAGGAAATGTAACTAGGGCCTCTAAAAGTACTCACTTTACCGTGAACAACTTTAGACAGTGCCCTTAAAAGAAAAAAAATGTTTGTACATTGGTTAAGAATCAGCTAACAAAATTATGATTAAGTTATTACTGTAGTGTGTGTCACTGATTATCTGATTAATTTAGCTATAAGTTTATTCTGCATTTAGAATAAAGAAGAATTAGAAGTAAAATGGAAATGTAACACTCGTATCAATTTCGATTAGGATTCAAATTTTTATTAGTTTCACTTTGAAGTTCTTTGAAGCTAAAATAAAAGCAAGACACCTGCTACCTTCATACTGCATTTTAGGAACATTTCTTCCAGATTTTTTGTGGTATGATACTCATTTCAAACCGAATACAAAACCAGCTTAGTTGAAGCTATGATCCTCGTTATCATGTAAGCTTAGTTGAAAAAATTTTACTATGATTAACTTTACACTTTTATTAAATTTCCCGTAAACATTTTCCTGGACGCGGGGAAAAATCTATTGCTCTCATGAATATACTTGGAATAAAATTGTGCATTGAATTACCTTTTGGAAATATCATCCCAATATAATTCCTGTGTGGTTGACAATAAGAAATATTATTCACATGCAGAATATGAAAAATACTGTCTCGCATATTAAACAGTTTTCCAGTTATGATGGTTCTCGGACTAGTATTTTATGCTGAAAACTCGCGATACTGCTCTACATATCAAAAGTATAAAGTTGACAGGTAACTGAATATGTCTGTAAGACAAGTTTTGTACTTCTTTCTGCTCGCATTTTTATCCTTCTGACAAATGTAAAACTTGACGTTATTGTGGATGTAAAAATGAAGCACTTGAAGAGGACATGGAAAATGGAAATATCTTTATGTGGGGGACATAGTAGTAATTTTGCTATATACATATATATATATATATATATATATAACCTAGAAAAATTTCCTGCTTCGAGACATTTCTGAATACAAATGAAGTAATTTTCGTGAGTCATATTACGTAATTCGTTTATACACGTTTGTTTAACTTCCTACTGGCCTTACCAAGTACACGCAAGAGTCAAACGCAAGTACACGCAAGAGTCAAACGCAAGTACACGCAAGTACACGCAAGAGTCAAACGCGAGTACACCCAAGAGTTAAAGACAGGCGATCAAACCTGTGGATATTTACCAGCGTCTTCTCGATGGAACATCAAGAAAGAGGAGAGCACGCTGGAGATATCGGGAATTGAACTCGAGACCTTAATCATGCAAAGAGAACGCTCTACCACTGATCTACATCCCCACATAATGGACAGAGTTGAAGGCTGTTGAAGTTACATGAAAACTTTTTGAAAACGACATTTGAAGAGAGAGGAGATTCGGGTGGCTCTTAACATCGCGGTCTTGAAAGCCGAAACAACATTTGAAAAAAAATCACTGCTCATAATTACACATCATCTACTGTACACACTGGTATGCAGGCTGCCAGTTATGTTGGCAACGAATTTCTAAAAAAAATAGTTCTAAGTGTCATCCTTTTTATTCCGAGAGAAGTATTTCAATTTTTGGCTGCTGAAGTGGGTGATTATTGTTTTATAAACTTAACAGCACGAATTTCCACGTTATTCACATATTTTCCATCCCAAGAATTCCACTGTTTTCACTTGGAAGACATAAAAATAAAGCGAAATGGTCCATGATAATGTTAATCTTACATATAGCAGAAGGATACAAAATGAGAAGAAAAGCAGATCCTAAGCTGCACTTTTACAAGTTCTCAATTAACCGTGAATAATCTATATCCAGAAATTCAGTTCAATCTCCGACTGATCTTAATACATCCATTGCATAATTAGGACTAATGAAAGTGCCGGTAGGGTTTCTGCTGTGATTAATGCTGTACCTAAAAAAAAAAAAATTTGAATAAATGTTTCGTAACGCAAGGGTATAAAATATTAACACACACTACTTGCCATTTTTGAAAATGCCCCACGCAGACATTTTTTAGATACTCGTTGAGAAAAAATTATGAATCTGTTGTTTTATGCATTTGTGCGTAGCCATGTTATAGGCTGTTCACGGTAAAGTGAGCACTTTTTAAGACCCTTCCAACAGGCATTAACCACTTATAAATATATCTTATTGCTGCCTCAGGCTTTAAATATTGAGTGTTGTGAATGTATTCACTGTGTTTATTGCGCACATTGCAATGTTTACATTAAAAAGTAGCAGGGATATGGAAATCGGATGAAAGGAAAAAATTAGAAGGGCCTTAAAAAGCGCTCACTTTACCGTGAACAGCATACCAGTGTGTACAGTAGATGATGTGTAATTATGAGCAGTGATTTTTTTTCAAATGTTGTTTCGGCTTTCAAGACCGCGATGTTAAGAGCCACCCGAATCTCCTCGCTCTTCAAATGTCGTTTTCAAAAAGTTTTCATGTAACTTCAACAGCCTTCAACTCTGTCCATTATGTGGGGATGTAGGGATGGACGTCGTAATAAAATAAAAAAAAATTAAATTTAACTTACTAATTAATTTCTATACTATAACAATACAACAAAGCTATTATTTGCAATACAGATGTCTGTCCCTACTACAAATACTTGAAACATTTTCAGTAAGCGTAATTTTTATAACACACTCAAACGTAGCTGAAATTGAAATCTCTAAACTTATGATAACATAGAGCCACTTAATCTTCAAACATTAATTAATACATTTTTCTTTATCTTAACCAACGTTGCACAAGAGAGAGAGAGGTTTCACTGGCTTGTTCTATGGCGATAAACAGCAAGTACAGCATGGAATCACTGGCTTGTTCTATGGCGATAAACAGCAAGTACAGCATGGAATCACTGGCTTGTTCTATGGCGATAAACAGCAAGTACAGAATGGAACAATACAAATTTGACAACTTCATAGCGAATGACAATGAGAAATTTTCGCCATAAAATTTCACTATGGAGATGCCGGGAATTGAACCCGGGGCCTTTCACATGCAAAGCGAACGCTCTACCGCTGAGCTACATCCCCTTCGGAGATATGCGTACCAGGTAGGTAAATTTGTTACTACTAACTGGTCACTTTTTTTTTCCTGGAAATGGTTTTAATAGATTAAATAACACTAAATGCATTAGTTAAATATGTGATAGAACGTGTGATTGCACTGAGTAAGAGAATTAACTTGATTTCCAACCTCGTTCCAAGAAAAGATCGAAGCAGTTCATTGTCATGAAACTTCCCAATCATTTTGTAAAGTTCCTTATTACTTCCAGTATATACGTGTACAAAGAATACTATAGGATATTCACGGTAAAGTGAGCACTTTTGAAAGTCCTCTCATTTGGAATAATAGTAAAGAAATTTATTTTATTTTACCCTTAAACGTTATCTTCCGAGTGCGGTGGAATCTATACATTGTGTTTATTACTTGCATGGCGATATTTATTTAAAAAGGTAGTTAAATTGTAAAAAAAAAATATGGATGAAATAAAAAAGTAACTAGGGACTCAAAAGTGCTCACTTTACCGTGAACAGCCTCTACCTTCCTTTATACTTCACATTTATTACTAGGTAAAGTAAATCACTAGCAAATATTCTCCCATATATTAAAAAAAAAAATTGATTTATTTACTCCATAATGTTCACACCCAATTTTTTATTATGTCGGAGAAAAATTGCTTCTATAAAGGTATAAGCGTGCGAGGTTTATAAAATTGCGAGCTAACCCATATTTGCAGTTTTAGAGGGCGTTTCGTAGAACAAATTGATAAGTTTACATTTGCAACTGCCCAACTTGTAGAAATCGCATGTGGTTACACATATAGCTGATAGGAAGTACTGGATACGACTTTTACGTAATCACGCCTAAAAACCATAAATAACTCACTTGCGGAAATCAGATAGTTCACACTGTAAAACGATGACTCACGATACCTCAAGTTATCAAATAGAAAAGTTCTTGTATTTTTTTTAATTGCCGATTACAAAGGATTTTTGTATAAATTTCATATGCTACTGGTTCCGAATATTTAGAGTACCTATAATTTTGGCTTTTCTTTACTTTTCCAATGTATTAAGACAATGTTTTCCAGCATTTCTTGTTTACATTTTTGGGAATGGTTTTTTTTTTTTTTTTTTTTTTTTTTTTTTTTTTTTTTTTTTTTTTTTTTTTTTTTTTTTTTTGTGGTTTCAAAACATATGGTCGTGTAGAAACCAAGGAATATAAATAATTTTTTTCCTGGAAATAATACCACAATTAAATGCCCACAAGTTGGATAGTTTATGACAGAAACATAAAGATGTGTGTGTGTATATATATATATATATATATATATATATATATATATATATATATATATCTGCTATTCAGTGCCTTTAAGCAGATAGTATGTAGCAACAGGAAATTTTAATGGCCTCATTTGTTTGTAGACTAGACTCCATAGTCATTTGCAAACTATGTTCTTGGTTGCTGGTTCAGTAATTATATTCCATTCATAGTTACTTCCAACTTTTCTGATGCCCTGCTTAAGTTATGCTTTCGGGATATTTTCCCGTCTCCCACAAAGTTTAACTAAATCTAGAAACTTACACCGCATTCGTGCCCACTCAATTTAATAACATTTTGCGTAAGAACTATTTCTTACTAGTCATTCCCAGCTCACCTTTTTTGTTCTCTCAGTTTCCATTCACATTTGTTATAGACGAATTTTATAATTAGGCCCCTAATAGTTAACATATAAGTAAAAATTTTATTTAACCAACAATAAGATACTTTTATGTTAAGGCACATTTCCACCCGCCATCTTGGATTTATGAAATTTTTGCCGTATTCTGGAAATACCGTTCTGTATCATGTGTTTTGTAACGACAAAGCACAAAGTATTGCCGAGTGCATTGTCTGATGTCAGTTTACTTGATTATTGTTGATATCGTCGCCTTTGTAATCGCCCGCAAGAAATAATCTCGCGTTTCGCCTCGACAGTTACCATCTAAAAATTAATAAATGTAGCGAAGCTGTGGCAGTTCGATAAAGTTTGGGAAGCTGTTGTTTAGTTGTGTGGTAAATTCCAATACACTTTCTGAAATAGAAATTCAATATGGCGGGTGGGAATCCGCCCTAACGAAACTATAAAACGCTTGTGACACATGTAATATTTAGGAAACAACCAAACAGGCCATACATGGGATGATAGTTCAAAGGTTTGAGAGACAAAGGGGTTGTAGTGGAAAGGCTACTCGCTTCCCACCAAGGCTAACCGGGTTAGATTCTCGGCGAGGTTGCTCCCGGATTGTCACATGTGGGAACAGTGCCGGACGATGCCGCTGGATGGCGGGTTTTCTAGGGGATCTCCCGTTTCCTCCGCCATTGCATTCCGGCGCTGTTCCATTCTCACCTCACTTCATCCTCATCGGCTCTCAATACCTCGATGTTAAGAGCCACCCAAATCTTTTCACTCCGCTCAAAGGTTTGATTCAAAATGTGTGAACATACTGCGAATATACCAAAGCCAGTTCAATTTTACCCTTCGAAAGGCACACTTTAAAAAAATCCATACGTAGTTTTCTGTAAGACAAAGAAAACCATTTCTTTGGGGTTGTTTTGTTTACAGCAACACACTGTAGCTTTAATTCAAAGAGTAGGTTACAGAAACATAAGTTAGCTGCTAATAAATGTTTTCTTCATAGTTGGGTTTTATTGCAATATTACCTTTCGCTGGAGTAAAGAAATAAATATTATTTGAGCTGCTCTTGTCCACAGCAAAGCAATATTACTTCGTACCAAAGGTACATGAGAACATCATAAGAAATGGTCACCCAGCCTTTATTACTAGCGACTCAGTTTTAACTGGTCGTAGTTGACAGTAAATCGTCACTGCGCCCTGAATCTCACAGGTTGCATAGCCAGCAGGCAAACAACAGTGCAGATTCCCCCCCCCCCCCTCTCCGAGAATCGTTCGCCTCAGAATATCACACCAAAGCAACTTCATTTTGATCATTTAAACGTGGTAATTAGTATCGATCATAACAATTCGCGTATTAGCTCAGAGATTCCGAGTTTTGAATGATAACAACTTCGCAACAGCATTTTCTTAAAGATTACTGATTACAGATCTTCATTCTAGAAAACACTGTTCAGAGTATTTGTTGCTTTGCTTCAAGTAGTCTAGAAAATTTTAAATAAAATGGTTTGAAAATCATGATTTTCAAAAACGCATGACTTTCTCAGTTATAATTATGGGGCATACGTTTTTTTTTTTGCGAAAAGATTCCTGGGCGCGATAGACATCAACATTCTAC